GCTGCTGAGTGTTAGAGATATCGGCCACAGAGATGCCTGCCTTCTCTCCAGTGGGCTATAATGGAACTAGATGGCACTCAGAGCGCCAAAAAAGTACATTTACAAGTACAACTCAGCATCAATGTCTCTTTCCAGAAATCACGACCTGGTTACTTAAGATAATCCACAGACCTGGTTGTGAGCAGTTTCATATAGGAACTATTTTCTCTCCACCAAACTACACCTGCCAACCGTATCACAGTGCAGAAGGAAGCATGTATCTAATGCTAGCTCACCTAGCACCTAGGGTGTAACAATTAATCAGTCAGTCTTGATTGATATATTGATTTTATAATCAAAGATCCAACATCATCAATGTAAAGTGAAAACATAGAACCATATCATTGCCTTAAGGATATGTCTTTATTTAAAAGTTTTGTGTCACCGACAAACAGCTCCTGCCAGAAATTGGCAAGTAGCCAAGGCAAAGATAATGAGGACAACATCATTTACTTGGGAATAAATCAGCAGTGTTGAAACATTATGGATTTCAGAGACAATTTTAAACTCCTTTCTAAACAGTGCTGTTAAGAAATAAACACTCAGGAAACACGTCATACCTGCCTGGCCAGCTATCTCACTCCTCATTCTTGCAAAAGCAACACTGGCTGCTCTGTTTCAGTAACATAAGCTGAAAAACATGCTTTTCTGGCAGAGTCCTGAAGGTTAACTTATCTTAGCTAATGGAATCGAATATAAAATCAAATGTGGCAGATTTCATGCTGTCGGCAAATATTGTATCGTTCAAAGAATCGATAATACTTACCTGTACTAGCCCCACTTAGCTAATGTTACGCTTAGCCGAGAAGGATACCATCAATGTTTACATCTCACACTTTAAAAACCAGAGCCTACCAAAACACGAGAGGCTACAGAGATATTGATTTCTTTAATGTGTGTGTGGAAAGTTACCAATGAGTCATTAAATAATTGCCCTTGAGGAAAAAAAGTACAACACTTCCTTCAGAAATATGAAAGAGTTCCAAGAATTTAATGACTCAAGTAACAGAACCTTAAAAAATATGGGTAAATGTACTTCATTTAACTGCCTTCTGTAGGTAACAATTAATATCTCTTAATGTAAATACACAGAGATATCTTTAAATCTACATTTATCTCCTCATGAGCTTTTAGTTCATGCACTGATATTTTAATCCACAGTGTCTTACATAGAAAAACATTTGCCATTTAATAGGAACTGCGTCTGCATGCAGCTATTGTCGTGTGTTTGATACTGATGATCTTCATTGCAGACGTCAGTTTGTTTCCCACCCCTCCATCTGCTCCAGACCTGGAATATAATCCAGATTAATGCACACGAACCCCCCCCCCCCCCCCCCCCCCCCCCCCCCCCNACACACACACACACACACACAGAGTCACTCATTATATTGCCAAAAAACACACACATGGACACACAATCACATTCGAGTGAGCACACAGAGTCCTACTGTGTTTCAAATGCACTAATGCTTACACACATACACACACACACACACACACACACACACGATGGTGTAATCTGGGTCATTGTTGGTGATTTTTGGATTGACACATCCGTTGTCTGGGTGACCCAGTGCCCATCATCACATCATCAAACCATAGCGTACGCGTCATCAGCGTGGGACGAGGGCTGATTCTCTCTGTTGGAAGATGTGTGAGCGAGCTGATTAAATCATCACGAATGAAATGAGGTGTGCCTTTGTGTGTTTGTGGGGGGGCTTGTGTTGCCATCTTTGTGAGGACCAATGTCAGTTTTAAAACAGATTAGAAAAGAATCTATAAAAAATAATAAATAACAACAGATTTTTAAAAAATGGTTGGATCAATAGAAATGGTGATAAATATAGGGAAATACTTACCTGCAGGTAAAATGGAATAATAGCAATTATATTCATAATGTTAAGGTTAGAATTAGGTTTAGGTTAGGGGTGGGTTAAGAGAGGGGCAGACTACGTATTTTGTGGTGAACAGGCACTAGTAAAATTCATGATAAACCTCTTCTAATCATAGAACATCTTTATCCTCCTGAGACCCAAGCTTTAGTTTGTGATGGATTTTTAATATCTTTTTGCTATTTGGGATAAGTAGAATCTGATAAGTACAAAAACTCAGCACTGTCTTTGAACAGTAAGCAGTTTTTTTTAAATGATGTGGGTTTACTTTTAATAGTCACAAGTGTTTGACAAAGTATAAAACAGTTTATTCTAATGCCTGAACAGTGCTGTGCAAAATCAAACTTACAAACAATGCAACATTTGTTCAATGTTTTGTAACTCTATGGGTTAGGGGTCATAATTCGACACAAAAACTGTTCAAAGCTCCTCATTCCAGCACCTGAACATGGCTGTGAAAAAACAAAATTTCAAATAATGGAACATATCCAAGAGGCTCATTATTTGTTCATCTTGTAACTCTATATGAATCTTTATCGCTCAATACTTCAAACTAAGAACAGTCTGTCACAACTAACTGGCCTGCTGCGATAATACAATAATAAAGTCCCAATGTCCTCCAACGTGTATTTCCTAATATACAAGGTCTCAGCTTGTTACTATTGCTAAAACTGGTCAAACTTGTATGCCATATTGAACTACATACTTTATTAAGCGCAAATAAACAAGTTTTAACCATAACATTTAATCTGGTTTTGTACCTTGTCCATTTTTGTGTTGAGATCGGCTGGGCTGTAGACTGGCTTGGCAAAGATGGCCGCCATCTTGACGTATAAGGTGCAGCAATTACAAAATTGAATGTCTTCATGTGAGGACAAAGGGCCGCAAGAGGTTAAAAAAACATCCCAAACCAGAACTGGCCCAACCAGTTAAGTTGCTGTTTACATCCATGTCATCCAAATATGGATGTTGCTGCAAAGAAGCTACATATTCTAAAACATGGATGCTTCAGATACGCAGCGCCCCTCGGCAGCACAGAAGATCTATACAAGCAGCACTGTTTCAAGATGTGCACCCAAGATTAGTGTCACCAATTCAGTATCTGATCAAATGTCTCCCCTTCTGTTAATGAATTATGACATTGAGTAATGACCAGGGAAGGTGACCTTTGACTCTTTGGATATAAAATTTCATCACTTCATCATTTTACCCTACTAGACATGTGCATGAAATTTTGTCATAGTTAGTGTATGCATTCTTGAGTTATGGCCGAGGACATGTTTTGTGAGGTCACAGTGACCTTTGATCACCAAATTCTAATCAGGTCAGTCTTGATGCCAAGTGAACGTTTGTGCCAAATTTGAAAAAATTCCCTCAAGACGTTCGGGAGATATCCTGTTCACGGGAGCAGGGGCAGCTGGCTCGGGTAATGCCAGCCAGTATAAAGACACTTAGGGCTCTAGTTTCGCAGACCGGGCGAGGCGGGGGTGCTTCGCCAACTGGGTGTGGCCAGGCGGATTTTGCAAGTTTGGCACACCGTGCGCCTGGCGCAGCTACTCCTCTTTCCCACCTCCGTCCCTCCTACCTGCGCAAGTCGGAAAGAGGGAGGAGAGAAGGCGTGAAGTGGGTTTTACACACATCACACCAATCAAATGAGCCCCTCTCCTCGCCCTTAAATGCGCCGCGCGAAAGCGTAATGAGAGTTTACTCAATTAGCCATGGCAGAAGAGAGCAGCAGCGTCAGATGGCCAAACTCCTCCCAGGAGGAAACTGATGTTTTGGTCCGGGAGGTCCAAGCTCACAGTGTCTGAATATACGGAACTGCGAGCAGACCTCCACGGGCTGACGATGCAAAGGTAGCCTGGGAGGAGGTCACCACAATTGTAAATCAATGTTGCGTTTCTCTCGTGTGTGCGCGCGCTCTCTTTTTCTCTCTCGCAGTCTCACTCTGTTTCTTTTCTTTTGACTTTTCTAAGATGACAGATGCTGAATATATACTCCCTATCTGATGCTGTGGCTGTTTGTGGTTGGCTGAGAGGGATGTGAACTCATTAGTTTGCAGCTGTGTTAATCAAATCAGGTTGGGTTTCCATTACGCGTGCCAAACGTGCCAAACGGTGCCAATCCCCTTTGATCTGACATCAGATGTGACGGGACAGTCGATATAGAGATACATTTATGTGCTGATTGCAGATAGTTGCATTGAATAGTGGTTTCTGTGGGTATTTATTGCATTGTTAATGTGCCTGACATTCTGGAAACCTGCCTGTGAGGTTTTGGTGACGTGTGCACACTGTCCGCTGGTCAGCCAAACTTTGACTTACACCGGCTGCGCTCCCCCTGCGCTGACAGTAGACCTGGTTTCAGCTGGCGAGCTTTTAGCGCACCTTCGGCAAAGCCTTTTGGCACAAAACTGTCACTGCGTCAAGCTGGATCTGTCGACACCTCCCCCTGCTGCGCCGCCACACCCATCTCAGCGCACCTCGGTCTGCCAAACTACCAAACTGGGGCCTCGGGTTGCGCTGCTCGAAACTAGCTCTGTGAGGGGTTCACCACCCTGCGCTGCGCCGGGAAACTAGAGCCCTTAGATGGTGGAATTTTTGTTAAAAAAAAGTTGGGTAAGGGTAAGACATTTAGTTGTGTTAGTAAAAAGGGAACACCCCCTTAATTAGTATTAAGAATTGTAGTGTTCTCAGTTCTGAAACAGAAAATGTCCCCATGTATTAGAACATTCCCCTGGGTGCTCTCAGCGTCATCTAGAACATCTTTCACAATTCACTGTCTGTGGAGCTTTATAGCCCATGACATCAAACAGTTGAGCTTATCACTCTAATTTGTGGATTTTGGAGAAAGTTGTTCATGTTTACCAATATCTTAAGACTATCGTAGATCATAGGAATAACATTTATACATTTTGAAAATGGGTGTAGTTCCCCTTTAAGGTTAGGGACTCGGGAATGCATTTTGTCAGTGAGAGTCCTCACAAGTATAGAAAGATTGTCTTTTAGTGTGTGCGTGTGTGTGTGTGTGTGTGTGTGTGTGTGTGTGTGTGTGTGTGTATCTGACCTCCAAAGCCTGGTCTCATGGCAAAGTCATGCTCCTCGATCCTCAGCAGCTGTTCAGTTTTTATCAGCAGTGTTTTGGTGCTGTCCTGTCTCTTCAGCTTGTAGTCAATACGTCTGCATAGACAGCATGCGCACACACACACACACACACACACACACACACACACACACACACACACACACACACAGTGTGATGATTGATTAGTCGGTTTATTAAGGCTGTAATTGCAGGTTCTGATTACTGAAAATACAGTTTGTGGTTTTCCCTCCCTCTCTCCCTCCCTGCCGCTCACTCTCATCCTGCTAGAACCATAACCTTAATCAAAGGCGTGGAACAGCTCCATGAACAAATAAACACACGTGTGCACAAGTTCTCTGTCGCACAAACAAAGCCTTGCATTATGTTCCGGGAGCTGAATTATCCGCAGAGGTCTCTCCCTCTCCAAAACAAACAGACCAGGTGATTTGAACTGGTAAAAACACTGAATAAAACAATTTCATTTAACAAATCAGTGTTTTTCTGATGCTGCTCGCCACAGATTGGCTACTAACTATGGTGGTCAACCAGAAACACTAATGACCCAATCTAGAGCCAGTGTCTGGATAATCTGTCCTCGGCTACTGTAGAAACATGGTGGTGCAACATGGCGATCTCCGTAGACGAGAACCCACTCCCATGTAGATATAAACAGCTCATTTTAAGCTAACACTTTCAGGTGATTATACACAACAGAAAACATACTTATTGTATTATAATCCATTTCTGCCATATATCCCCCTAAATCCTACACACTGGACCTTTAAGTGAAGGATGTAAATACTTCCTCGCCCATGTATATATTGGGGAAAAAACTGGCCACCTGAATACATACCTGGCACCAGACCATAATATAGATATCCAACAATTGCAGAGGATGTAATTGAAATGTGAAACAAACAAATAAAATGTGTTTTATTTTTAACAGAGTTTGGTTGGAAGCTCATCACAAATCTTTTGTTTAAAGAGACGTAAAGTTAGGATTTAGAGTATTTTTGTCAAAATGTTCTTATTACAAAGTTTACACTTTGTCTTTCAGGAGCTTTCGACCACAACTTGCAACCTTCATCAGCAGTCACCGTGGAGATAGTGTAGCTGTTATCAGATGACCTAATTAGGTGACGTTGATCATGTAATGGTTTTATATCAGGTGTGATGAAGACCTCTGTCCCTGTTCAAAGCTGGTTCCTGGTCTTGGACACTAAAGAGGACCATAATATGTCCTGAAAGAAAAAGGAAGTGGACTTGAATGAACTTCAAAGCTCAACACTCTGAGGATACTTTACATAACCAAATGTGACATTACATCCTGTGTGTTTTCAGCAGCAAAGAAAACCAAGAAATGTAAACTTCATATCTGCTTGTCGATAGTGTTTGAGTGTTTTTGAGTGGTGACGTCCTCGGGCAACATAGAGTAAACATGCTGTGAAGTTAAACAAACTGTAAACTTCTATATATGTCTGACATTCAACCAGGGAAACACTGACCAGATGCAGAAGGTATAATTACAGCCTGAGCACAGCTGCCTCTCTGCTGCAATACATGCTACACTCTGTGTGTGTCTGTGTGTGTTTAAAGGGAATACAAACACACACGTGCGGTGCACAGGTGAACACAAAGTGGGAAAAAGATAAAAGCTGTTTGAGATTTTCTCATCTGATGGCTGAAAAGCCTGTTTGAAAGTCGCACACCTTGACACACACACACGCACACACACGCACACATTTGGGCTCCTATTATTGTGAGGTCGGGCAGCATGTTTGAGCCAAATCCTGTTTCCATAATCCCTTAAATTAACCTTGAAACAAACAATACAATCCCCTCAAACAAACCAAAATCAACAATAATCTCATACCCTGAAGCTAATTCAAACAAGCTCAACACTTCCTTTGAAAGCAGATTTTCTTTGAGTTATTTTGATCGGAAGTATTCAGGTCCTTAACTTTAAGTAAAACTACTAATACCACCCTGTAAAAATGCTACATTACAAGTAATTGTTCCCTCAATAAAAGTGTGTAAGCATAAACAGTAAAATGTAGTTAAAGTATAAAATTTTTAAACTGCCCTGGTGACTGTTACACCATTTTATATACTGATTTTTCAGCAGAGGTAGTGCCCCAAAAAGCATTTTATTATTTTTTTTAACTAAGACATGCTTTGTTTCCAGCAGGAACTGCACTCTGTATTTTAAGGCAAAACGTGATCTCCTTCTAACCATAATCAAGTGGTTTTTGTGCCTAAACGTAACCACGTGTTAACCACAGAGTTGTTGAAACATAGAGTTTCAGCGTATCCACTTGATAAAAGCTGTAAAAGCTGTCACACTGTAATGTTTCCATGGCAGAAACTCAGAATGCCAACATTTTTTCTGGAGACTGGGTTGCAAAAAAAGACTTGACCAAATGACTTTCTGTCAAACGACGTACTGTTTAATCATGTTATCATTTCAGCTGTACTTGTATAAACTGCTGGGAAGTTTCATTTATAACAAAACATATTTTAAAAACTCCTCATGTTTTGTGTGTAATGTATGGACTTGGTAAATGGACTTGCAGTTGAATAGCTCATTTCTAGTCTTCTGACCACTCAATGCACTTTTTCCACAAATTCACCCATTCACACATTCACACACAGGTAGCCAAGGCTTCCATACCAGCTACCACCTGCTACTCAGGCAATTTTAGGTGTAGTATAGTGCCCAAGGATAGGGACTGGAGGAGCTGGGATTGAACCGCTGATCTTACGATTGATTAATGAATGGCCCACTCTACCTCCTGAGCCACAGCCTCCATGTGTAAAAATTCTGATTTGTAAAATTACTAAAGTGTTCATACATATATGTTGTGGAGTAGCATGAAATGGAAATACTCAGGCGAAGTACAAGTAAAAGAACAGTGTGTAAGATAGCAAGATTTAGTGGCATCTAGTGGTGAGGACTGTAGATTGCAACTGGCTGAAACCTCTCTATGTTAGAATTCCTTTCAGTGTTCATTGTTCAGGATATTTTTACCGGAACTGAATAATCCGTAGATGTCTCTTCCTCTCCAAAACAAACAGACCAGCTGATTTAAACCAGTAAAAACACTGAATAAAACAGATTCGCATTACAATTCAGTGTTTTTCTGACACTGTTCGTCACTGAGGGGCTACTAACTACTGGCCCTATCTAGAGTCAGTATTTGGTTTGTCTGTTCTGGGCTACTGTAGAACAATATGGCAGTGAAACATGGCCATCTACACAGACAAGAATCTGCTCCATATGTAGATATAAACAACATACAAAGATGATGAAAACATGCCGATTTTTACTGTCAGGTGATTATACACTAAAGAAAATATACTAATGTTATATTCCATTTCTGCATATATATATATTCCCTCAAAATCCTGCACACTGGACCTTTAAGTACAGTATTGGAGTAGATGTTCTAAATTAAACCACTGACTCATTTCTGTTACTTTGCTTTAATCCCTGAGCTGTGTCTGCTCTGTATTTCCCACAGATCACCTGTCATTCAAACAATGAGCTGGGCGTTGACATGAGACAGTGGATCAACGCTATATTGTTTTTCTCACTGTTGCTGCACACACACACACACACACACACACACACACACACACACACACTGGCTGTTTTGTTCAACTACTTTGACAGTTGAATGAGAACTGAAGCCAGAGTTCAGTTAACATCTTACTAATAAACAAGCTTTTATTGCAGAGACAAAATGGGTGTGCAATAAGTAATAAAATCTTAAAATGATTTGCAACAAGCAGCAACAGGTTTCAAATAAAACATTTTGTATGGCACCAAACTCAGTTTAAATATTTCCAGTTAGATACAACAACTTTTAATGTCTCTCTTTTAAAAATCTGTTTTCCCACCTTAAACAAAAACAGCTTTAATGTTCTTTATTGCAGTTATTGAATTAAAATAAATCTTTTCCCTCCTCTAACAACTCGTCCTAAAGCTACACCTGGATAATGAATTTATTACAATTTAATGCTTCCTGGATGTTTTTACAGGTGGTTCACTTTGTAAATTATCATCAATATTTTTGTTAAAAATAACCATTTGCACAGCACAAGGGGGGTTTATATGTTTTTCATAGAAAGTTTTGATGAGAATCTATTCAGTGTTTCTACTTGCTGACACAACATGTTGAGGAACTGCAGCTGCATTCATTCATTCATTCATCCTTTCCAACAGGAGCTCCAGGAAAGCTGCGTTTTTTCCTATTAGACAAATAAAACCTGTCTGACCAGCACTTTCTTTGCCAAAAGCTGATTTCAAACTTGCAGAGGTCAGTAACTCAGCTGTGAGCAATAAAAACAGCACAGTCAATTAAAATCTGAACTAAAACTAAAACTATAATTACATTTAGGGAAAAATTTTGTTGTGGTCTCGTTTCTTCAAATAAAAGAAGTGTTTGAGGTCATTTGTGGTTTTTACGTGAAACAGGGAAGTGGAAGTGATCAAATTATGGGAACCTCTGTGTGACCTTTTTGTTATAGGTGGAAATGCAGCTTCCTGACAAACCCTAGAATATTCTGTATAGTAATTAAATGTAGACAGGCACTGAATAGCTGATGCTACATAGAAACTGCAGCTTCCTGTAGTGTTAAAAGACGTCAAGGAGTCATAACTGGATCCTCAAGTTTTGAGCTATTGATTGATCAATATGGTGATGAAAACCCTTTGAGGTTGAATCTAGTCTGCATTTTACATCAATATAAACTGAATAAAGACTTTTAATATAACTTTTGTCTTTGTTCTAACTACTAGTGCCTGACGATATCATGATCTGGATTTTTTTTTACCTTCAAAAGCACCTCACAGTTCTCATTTTACAAATTCAAGGTGCTTGGACTTAATTCTAAAATATACATTTACCTGCCAACGTTTAGTTTTCAAAATACATAAAATATTTTCACTGATAGTCTGTCCTTTGATGCTAAAGGTCGATATTGCCAATGTATCCTTTAACGCCGTGCTTGTGCCATTTGGAGCTGATATGCTGGCTCGCACTATTCTCCCCACCGTGCCCTACATAACAATCCTTCCTACAGGCTTTGCACAGGGCATGGCCACTATACCAGTGGCTGGCAGATATAAAAGGAAACTGTTCAGTCCAACACTGCTTAGATTTGCAGGTGTATATAGATTTTTCCTAGCCTGCTATTTATATATCTTACAGCAACATTAATTTCACTAGCCTGTCTGCGTTGCCTGTCTGCCTGCGTAGAGAGCAGCTGCTCACACACCCCTTGAGTTTGGTTGTGAGTTACCAGTTGCAACCCAATTACCAGAAAAAAAAAATATTGGTATTCCACGTTTCTGAACACCACAGATATGTTGCATTTGCACGTTATTATGTAGCAGATACAGTACCTTGAGACTTAAGGATACAATAATGTGGTGAACATGTGGTTATGTTTAGGCATAAAAAACCCTTGGTTATGTTTAGGAAAAGATCATTTTTGGCTTAAAATACCCACTCAATCCTGACTGGAAAAGCAGGGATGTCAGTGAAAAACAACAGCTTTTTGCATTACTGTTCCTGCTGGCAAAAAATACATGTTTGGGGGCTAAAAAGCCACTGGAAAAACAGTGATAGATCTCTAAAAATACCCAATGTTTGGTGCCTAAAAGAACCCTGGAAAAAACGCCAAGGGTCCCTAAAAGTCACCCATATTTGGGAACTAAAAATTATGTGGTCTGTAGTGGTCTACATCTTGGCAGGAGTCTCACTTAGGTGTCACACCATTTGCCGTCCCATCCACCTCCTGATGACCGTCAGCTCATACACTATATCTCTTTAGAAACAATGATATGATACCTACGAAATGTACAAATATGACATATCTGTGTGAAGGTTGTGTTTCATAAACAATGTGGCAACTTTGGGGATGTCAGACAAACATACAAAACACGTGGCTCCATATATGACAGTTATTCATAATAAAATTTGAGGGCCATGCAAGTCATGGGAATTTCCTGGGAGAAACAATAAAATGGGATGCTACTGGGACATGGCCTTGAAATATAGAGGAAACCTGGGAAAACGGGGAGTGTTGGCAGGTATGCATTATGGTGACAATGAGGTCACATTTGGACAGTAATGTTCACAACACAAAACAAGCAGAGGGTGCTATTTTCTTGAGAGCTGTCGAGTTGCACTGTGGGTGCAGCATTCTTGTTTTTCAAACAAAAAAGAGGAATGCTGCATTGATTTTAATGCTTTTTCTGTAAAACTGTCCATCGTTAGTCCGACAATGGCACAGGAGTGCAACGCTAAATCCCTGAATCAGTTTTTTCATCTAACTCCATTATCGTGACTAAAATTGTATTCATCACATGCTTTGGTTTATGGCCAAATACCTGCGAAACTAAAGACATTCCCATCAGCCTCAGGTGTAGTTCATGTTTGCTAATAAGTTAATGCCAACTATGATGGTGTCCACAAACATGACAAGTTAATGCTAAAGTTGCTACGTATCTAATGTATGTATAAATATGAAAATATGTGCTTATTTACACATGCATATCAACTTCATAGGGTGATAATATGTCAGTGTTGTGTTAACAGTTTGCTGCGCTGCCCCCAAGTGGCCAAAAAATGAAGGTTTAAGAAGCACAAACAGTCAAGAACAGACAGAGAAATATGCTACCAATCATCTGCATCACCTACTGACTCACTCTGAACTGTGATAAATGTGTGTGATCAGTGTGTCTCACCCTCCAAACTTGAACTTGCTGTTCTCCCCAAGGAACACCTCCTTGTGCTTCCTGCGTCCGGAGTTGCGGCCGCCGGTCACTGTGGTGATGAGGCTGACGACAAGAGCCAGGCAAGTCAACACGTCCACCTTCATTTTTCACAGGTTTCCCTGCCACAACTGACACAATGCCAACATCGCTGGCCACAACCACTCCACCAGCTCCACCAGTTCCACTGTCCACACCACCCTGCAGACTAACGCCGGTGGTTTTGGTCAAACATCCCACTATGGCTGGAAGTTTCCTCAACCAGAAAGCTCCAAAACAAAGGAATGATTTCCAAACAAAGCAAATGCATGAGTGCAGTGTTCTCCTAAATGTTTCTACATGTATCTTTACATGCATGTATCTCTGCAGCAGGTGTTTGTGCAGCCCCTTCAGCTGAACATTCCGGCTGCGATGATCTCCAGGAATCTTCTGCTGCTTTCCCCCCGGCTTCATTCACTCCTCCTCTTGCTCGCACAGTCTGTCTCTGTCTGTTTTATCTGCAATTTTTTTGTGGATCTTTCTATCTCTGATTAAAATCGATATGAATCTATTCCTCGCGGCGATAGAGGAATGACACTAATTCCACTCTAATCCTCTTATCTACAGCCACAGCAATCTTTCACTAACCTACAAACAGTCACACACACACACTAAAACACCCATCAGTAATCAGGATTTTCTCAGTGGGACAATAAAAAAACAGGCACCTGGTGTGATTATATGGATTATATGAGGTTAGCGCACACCTCCACATTTTGTGTGTGTGTGTGTGTGTGTGTGTGTGTGTGTGTGTGTGCGTGTGTGGAGAGGAGTTATGTGCGTGAAAATGAATCACGGGATTGAAAGCAGCTCAAACAACAAAAGGTCGTCAAGATCGGCCGAGGTTTAATCCGAGCTGGAGTGGAGCGAGAGCTGCGTCTAATCCAGCCTCACCTACAGCTCCTTCTTCAGTTTACACCTCTGGAAGACATAATCCCACTCACACACACACACACACACACACGCACGCACGCACAAGTATCAACACACACGCATGCACAGCCTAAAGAGCCGTGCAGCTGCATAAAAACACATGCAAATTCAGTTTTAGATGTTTGGTGTGTGAGTTTGAGGAATTTCTTCCTTTGCAGTTTACTATGTGTGGCACCAGAGTTGTTGAAATTAAATGAACAGTTCACCCAAAAACACAATATAAATTGTATATAGTTGTATATAGTAGTTTTCTATCAAATGGGGTTAGGGAGAGCAGAGCGCCTGGAAAATAAAAGTATATCAGTGCAAATGGACTTTGACAGAGTTCGAATAAAAGACAGATCAAAAAGACGTCAAAGAACTCTGTGAAAATCCAGAAAAAAATGTTGACATTGTACGTTTCGTCAAACCATGGATACATTTGTACATTATTATGCAGCGGATACACTGAAACTTTAAATTTTCTTATGTTTCATCAACACTGTTGTTGACGTGTGGTTATGGCACAAAAAACACTTTTGACTTAAAATACCTGGTTTTGGGGGCACAATCTCCACTGAATATCTCCCAATATCTCAGCAAAACAACAACCATTTTTTCTGGCACTATCACGAGAAATCCCAGGAAACACAGTGATGTCTCTGTCAAAAACAACTGCTTGTTGTGCCACTATCCCTGCGGGAAAAACAGCAATGGGTTGCTAAAAAATTGCAACATTAGTGCCTGTAAAGCCGCTGGAAACACAGCACTGACTTGCTAAAAAACAACTGCTTTTGTTGTCAGTTGGTCTTCAACAGCCAACATGTTCTTCTAGTGACTGGACTGACAGCATTATCCAAGTGTCTTTTTGTGGGTTCATGGAACTCCAAACACAACTATTCCATTAATTTACTGTTACACAGAGCATTGCCCTGAAGGAATTTTTTTAGGATTATTGTTTTTAGGGATTTGCCTTTATTACTGGACAGCTGGAGAGAGACAGTAAAGGGGGAGAGAGAATGGGGATAACATGCAGCAAAGAACCACAGGTTGGAACTTAGCCTATATGGGGTGCACGCTCTACCTGCTGAGCGAGAGGTTGCCCCATGAAGGAATCTGTTGTGCCCACAAATACATACAAGACACTTGGATACTACTGTGGAAGCATAACAAAGCATACACTGGAAATACTCAGGTAAAGTACAAGTACCTCAAAATTGGACTTCAAGATACAGATTGCAGATTGCAACAAGTTGAAACTTCTGGTTAGAATTCCATCAGTGTTCATTGTTCTGGAGGTTTGTATTGGAAGCTGAATTATGTACAGATGTCTCTTCCTCTCCAAAACAAACAGACCTGCTGATTTAAACAGGTAAAAACACTGAATAAAACAGTTTCATGGAGAAAATCAATGTTTCTTCTGACCTAATTAGCATGTCGCAGACGGGCCGCCAGTCTGGCACCTACAAATATGTGCTCACCCTTCTGATCCAGAAGTTCAGACGGCTTTTTACTACAGGCCCAATTATCTGCAGAGGTCTCTTCCTCTCCAACACTAATTGACCAGGTGATTTAAACAGGTAAAAACACTGAATATAGCAGTTTTGTGTTAAAAAAAATCAGTGTCTTTCTGACGCTCTTGTCGCAGAGGGGCTGCTAACTGTGTCCAACTCGAAAATGCAAATGGCCTTACCTAAAGGCGGTGTTTGGTTTGTTTGTTTGTTCTGGGCTACTGTAGAAATATGGCGGTGAAGCATTGCGATCTCCACAGACAAGGACCCAATCCCTATGTAGATATAAACGTCTCATGCTAAGGACGCATTCACACTGGCGCTATTTGGTCCGCTTTAAATGAACCCTGGTCTGCTTCCACGGATAGTTCAGTTCATTTGGAGTGGTGTGAATGCTCATTCGAACTCTGGTGCGGACCAAACAAGCAAACCCTGGTCCACTTGAAAACTGGGGGTCTCAGTTCACTTGCAAGTGAACTCTGGTGCTGTTCACTTACAGGGGGAAATGCAAACGGACTATCCAGCAAACCACAGAGAGGAAGTGAACCAAAGAGAGGAAGTGACGTAGAGTGCAGTGCATTTTGGGTACAAAAAAACAAAGTCAACAGCACAAACCGGGACAAGCAGAGCTAAAAAAAGAAAATGTTGGAAAATGTCTCTCTCCAGACGTGGAGCAGTGAGGAGGTGCAGGCAAATTTAGTGTTGCTCGATTGTTTTTGTGGCGACCAAGCCGGCTGAATTGGATGGATTTCCATTTTTTTTTTAGGTCCTGGCCGGGTTTTCTTCTTCCCCATGCTTTTTTCTTCCTGATCAGTGGTTGTTTTGGGCAATACTGCCCCCAAACAAGCAGTTGTTGTAACTGCGTGACGTGGTCCAGGTGGTTTGGTCTGCTTTAAAGAATGCAGTGTGAAAGTGAACAGAACCAAATGAAAGTGTAAAATTTTTCGGCATTCCCCTCCCAATCTATCCGAGTGCCCTGGACTATCCTGGTGTGAATGCGCCCTAACGTAACGAGTACACAAGGATTTTTATTTTCAAGTGATTACACACTAAAGAAAAGATGCTTATTATATTACGCTCCATTTCTGCCAATATATCCTGCATCCTAAATCCTACACACTGGACCTTTAAGGACAGCTGAACTAAAGTAGAGCAAACATACTTTTCACCATTGCGAAGCAGAACACATCAAAAAATCCTCACTGCATATTACAAACAAAATCACATTAATCAAATAACAACAAACCCATTGAACACTGGTGTCAACTGCCTCCTTCTGAAATTTCTTTTGGTCTAGTGATGGCTCTTTTTTTATCTATATACTTTCAGCTTCTGCCTGTTTCAAACAGTGGAAACAATCACTATGTTATCTCATTCGATTCAAAGATTACAGCTGCACTATGTCACACTTATCAGAGATCGTCATAATGATACAATAAAAGATAAAAGGTGAAAGTCCATTCCCTCCCTCTTCACTACCACTTACTGTAGAGGCCTTTGTTTAACCTGAGGAACTTCCTGTAACCCCCAACCACAAGATCAGACTGGTTTAACTGGTGTCCAGGTGTGAGTGTGAGTAAGGGTTAGGGTTAACTGTGGCACGGCTTCCCTGAAAAAGAGAACAGTGTACTCAGTGAAACTTTCCCAGGTTAAATAAAGGTTACTCATCTACATCTGGGATTGTTTGACTGTCTCATTTCTGCTGAACCTAATGATGACTAAATAATGACTTAAAGATGACTAAGAGGACACACGTCACATCGCCTCATGCTAAAAGATAAAGATGTGAACTGTGCCTCATTTGATACAGCTATTTATTTGCTACTGTACATGTCATTTAAGCCTCTGAAAAGTGAAAGTGAACAGAGGATACAAGCCAATCTTTTTATTGTGTAAGCAGGTGTTGAGGTGTTGGCTGCCTGGCATACAGCACATAGCACACAGTACACAGCATGTACTAAAACAGCTCTGCACTTTTAAAGCAACCCCACTGACATTTGATTGAGCTGCAGAGGAAACACTGACTCCTGTGGAGGGTCTCATGTTTGTGTTTGTGTGTGTGTTTGTCAGTTTGCCAATCACAACCAAACTCCACCCATTCAGAGGGTGTGTGTGGAGTGGCCTTACTCTCCCTGTAGTGCCTTGTGTGTGGTGAAATGATTGTGTAGTGGAGTGTATGTGTGTTAGCTGCCTTTTCTCTAAATAACCTGTTGATCCAGTCAAGCTGACACTCACTCAGCTCAGGAGGCAATACACGCTTCTTCCTTCTCTTTTTTCCTGGATTTCATCTGAACCGGAGCTCCAGCTGAGTCACTGTAAGTGTCTTCTCAGCTCACTCTCATTTCCCAGCATGTCACTGACAGATGGCACCAATTTCAGCTCTGTCTGTTGTATCAGGTCGTTAAAAAAGTGACTTTTTGTACTTCACAAGAGAAGTTTTACTGTGGATGTCCAGGAGCTTCTGTAAGTTTTTGCCTTTTCTGTCTTTTATTAATAAGGACACTAATCAAAGACACTTGTATGAGCAGTTTAAGGTGTAGAAGGGTTATATTTCTATAAGAAGGTCATTAATAACATTTAGAAGAGCAGGGCTGTGATGAAGCTATAAAACTGCTTCTAAAAATATACATGTCATTCATAAAAGTAATCAGCTGGTCAAAGACACTTAAATCATGAGGAAAGCTGCTTCAAGAGGAACTGAACTGCTCCTGTTGTCAGATAAACTCAGAGTGCACCTCAGATCAAAGAGCAAATGCTGAAATTACGATAAATGAAAACAATCTGTTTTATATCCAAGGACGTTTTCTTACTGGGGGCGGCGCGCAGATTTGAAACAGGGGGGTTTCAGGGTCCTCAGCCAGAAAAATTTGAGCGTGAAACACCTATTCTGCATTCTGGTGAACCTTTTGGTGTGCCTTTTCTGCATCGATTCATGGTTAATTTT